CAACAATGAATGTAACTGTACTGTATCCCTAAATGTACCAATAAACTCAATAAAAAAAAATTGATATCAAATATAATATAATATATAGATTCCCTTGATAAGAAACAGTCCTGTAACTTAAGGATAGCTGTTAATAAAAGCATGGGGGCTTAAAATAAAGTTTAGAAGAGTAAGAGTCAGAAATTAATTTTATGAATTTTTTAAAGAGCTGGATTCTTGTGCACAGTAACAATGAATGTAACTGTACTGTATCCCTAAATGTACCAATAAACTCAATAAAAAAAAATTGATATCAAATATAATTTAATATATAGATTCCCTTGATAAGAAACAGTCCTGTAACTTAAGGATAGCTGTTAATAAAAGCATGGGGGCTTAAAATAAAGTTTAGAAGAGTAAGAGTCAGAAATTAATTTTATGAATTTTTTAAAGAGCTGGATATTCTTGTGCACAGAGTATTTCAGGGTAATCAAGAAGTTGTGGAGAGAGTCTCTATTTTTTTTTTAAAAGCGAAGGTAATGATATTTTTATTTCTTTTTTAACTATCATATCTTGATACACACAAACTCTTTAGAATTGAAACAATATAATAATGCCTGGAATTTTACTCAACATATTCCAATGGGAAGGATGAGTAGGAGGTAAAAATAAAACATATCTATGTGTTCCCATAACAGGGTTATTGCTAAGGATTCAGTCATTCCTTCGTGTATGTTTAAAATAGTTCATGTTGACTTTTTCTTAAAAAAAAAAGAGGGCTGGGCAGTTTCAGACTATCTTCAAAAGGAACATATACCTGGGAAGTCAGACATATTTGAACGATGGACTTATTTTTACTGTCATTCCTATATAAACTTTTTCAAAGGATAACAACACAAGTAGCTTTTAACGAATTAATTTTCAGATCTCAATTTATTAATCTGTATGCTTTTTTCTGAACCATATCTACCTTAGAAAAAAGTTGCGTATTTTTACAGACCTCTCTTTTCCACAGTCTTTTTAGGATTCTCCCGTCCCCATTGTTAATCACAGGATTTTGGTGGAAACACTGAGGATCAAGGAATGAAACCCAAGAGGACACTACTATTGAGCTACATTCTCCAGCCCTTTTCTTTTGGGGCAGTTTCTCCCTAATTTTCCAAAGGTGGGCTTGAACTTGCAATCCTGCTGTTTCAGCTTTCCCAGTAACTGGGGTTACAGGTGTGTGCCACCATGACCAACTATCACAGGATCTCTTTATGGTTCATTGCCTTGGGACATTTGTGTCAAATCCCAGTAAGTGTGCCCAAGAAGGGAAATTTGATCAGAGTGAGTTCAGGGAAACCTTGTTTAAACTTCTTGCACTTGCCCAGGGCTGCTTGTTCTTTGTGCCTGCGAGTTTCTACAAAGTGAGAGATGGTAGCTGAGTGATGTCTGGTTTTCCATCTCCTAACAATTACCAAAATGTTCATCTGTCTTTAGGGAGAAGCCTCTAACAGGACAGCAGGAAATGTGGAGTGCTTAAAATGGCTCTTTCTGCACATATTTTCAGCTTTAAAAAAAAATCCTTAGGCAGTGTCTTCAGCTGAACAGAAATGCGTGTCTGAGGAGAGGAAGCAGTACAAGTTGTGATGAAGATTGCTTTAAATATAACTACAGTCTTTTCTGGGACACCACACTTTTCAAGATTGCTGGATAGAACTGGTAGATAAAAATCTTGTGTTTTTTTTTTCAGATTTCATATTCATCATTATTAAGGTATTTAAATCTTAAATTTTAATCCTATCATATTATGAAATATTTATTCCAGTACAGCCAAGCTTCATTGCCAACAAAGTATTTGACAATAGAAAAGCATACGTGACTTACAAGATCAACCAAAATTCACTATAGTGTATATAACTTTCTTTCATTAAATGAATAGGTAATGTTTGATTTGATGTCTAATTAAATTGTTCCTGAGTTTTATATATATTTTCTAATTATTCCCAAAAGTTAAGCATAAGGGTTCTATTTATATATGAAAATATCTAGGAAATATCATATTTTTATCATATTCACTTCACAGGTAATTTAGACATCTCATTACATTATTTATACATATATTTAATTGTATCAGATGAATCTTTTTACACTTCCTTGCTCTGCTTTTAATAATCTTCCATAAGATATATATTGTATAATCTATTTTTCAGTAGTTTTCATAATATTTTTCAAAATATACATTAACATTTATTTGAACTAAAAGTGTAGGTAGGTTTTATTTTCACAGGAAATAAATTTAATTATGAACAAAATATGCGATGAGTGTTTAAATTTAAAAACTTTCTTACACTAAACAACACATTGTCATTAATTGCCTCAAAATACTTCCTTTTGCTTCAAACACACTTATTCTACAATTCTTTCCACTTTCTGTAGCAGTGCTGAAAGTCCTCTTTTGTGAATGTCTTTCGGAGATATGATCTAAAAAAATACAATACAATGAATGCCGAGTGCCATCCAGCAGAAAGCCAGGCTTGTAAAACTACTATGATGTGTCCTCATCCACCTTATTCATTGGATCTGGCACTTTTTTTACTTCTACCTCTTCCCTAAAAATCAAAATAAACATAAAAGATAAATGTTTTGTACAAGTGAAGACACAAATAAGGACTTCCAGAATTGCTTCAGAAAGTGGCAAGAACAGTAGGATAAGTGTGTTCAAAGCGCAAGGGAGTATTTTGAGGGAGATTCACAGCAATGTGTCTTTTATATTAATACATTTGAAAATTTTTTATATAATCACAGTAGTTTTTGATCATAGTTTATGCTCATTGGTTTCATGACAAGGACTGATTTTACCAACCTAGGCGAATGTGGAAAGGAAACTGTATGAGCTAAATCTTTAGTTCTAAGATTTTGACAGAAGTATATTTAAAATATGTGCTAATAAAAGCCTTTTTTATCAAAAATCATATCGGAAAATATTTATTAAAATTAACGTTTCTACTTCCCAAGACCTTTTTGAGAATATTTTATTAAATAAGGTGCCTCCAAGTGAAAGAGTAACAGGGATAATTTAACAGTCATTTGTTATTTGTTAAGATGTGACTTTTTGATATGTTTCTCAGAAACCGAGGCAGGGAATAATTCAAGAAATGGATGATAAATCATCTCATTTCCTGATTTCAATTAATTTGAAAGAGTACCCCACCGAGTTGTCAGTGGATCAGTCATTTGAAAATCACCTTGTGATTTCTGACATAAAATTCTGAGAGTTCAGAATATCAAATGACACTGCTACCTTGAAACTCCATTCGCACCTGTGTGTGTGCATGTGTACAAGCTTTCTTAACATTAGAATCTATAAACTAGGAAAAAGCAGAAAACTTTGATGCTGCATGTGGTCTATTTCTAAAAATAATAACATTTAACACTGGACTAACTGAAAACAGAACAGCTCCATTTTATCTCATTAAGATACAGTTTCAAAAATTAGTTTTTTATTTAAAAAGTATGAACATTTATAACATATTTATTCCTTTGAGCAACTGTGCACTAAAAATAATTGTGATAACTCAATAATAAGGTCACTTAGCATGTTTAAAAATTAATTTCAACTAAAATACTTGCAAAAAATATAATAGAGTGGTCAACAAATTGCTTTCAAACATAAGACATATTATATAGCAAGGGAAAATTCTGTCGAGGAAATGGTGTGTGAAAGGGTTCAAGAAGAAAAATTATCAAAGAGCTTGTTTGAGTATCTTTTAAAAAGGATTATGATGAGTACTAACTTGATAAGCACCCATTGGTTATATAATTCAAAAATTTTTAAATTTCTCTTTTAAAATATCAATATTTAGTTTGGGCTGAATGTTTTATCTTTTGCAACTAAATATTTGTTGAGAACTTTAAAAATGTGCGAATTTGAAGACAGTCTTAGAGTTTTCAAGCAGCTTTTTGTTTTTTGGTTTTCATCCTAAATATTTCTTCTGCAGATAACTGTCACTGCCTGTGAATCTGGTATTTTCACTGTACTCGGATAATAAATCTTCCAGTTAAGATGCTATATCTCTGTAGATAACCAGGAACTCAGAAATCAGAAGTCTTACAGGCTTGGAGTTTTGAAAGCCTGTCATATATTGTGCTGGAGGGTAAATGAATGAAAATTAATGAGTAACTTCTTTGAGCTAATCACTGTACTAGTGCTCTAATTATGTCTTCAAGTAGAGATCATTCTAATTCCGTCCAACAATAAAACTGAATCTTGCAGATGGCTTGTTACTTGCTTGGGGAGTACACATAACCAAGGTTTAGCCAAGAACTTACCAATCAGCTATCTGCCTGCTCACTAACTTGAGCTTTTAAGAAAAGACTGTCTTTACAGGAAGCAATTCAGAGTAAACACAGGCCATAGGCCCTCCAGGCTGATGCATACCTTCCAGTGAAGCAGTGAAAGACACCAGGCTGTCCTAACCCTATCTTCACTGACCTACTGAGCTCAGAAAGGCAACTGATGGCTAGAAATCCCCATTGCCCTCAGCTCAGGTGGAACTGGCACAGCTGCAAGCCAACATTGCCATCACCACAGGAGTGCAGATAAGGATAAAGGGGCTATGATTTCTTTCAGCCTACAAAACCAGTGTTAGTGATGACAATGATAGCAAGTATATACTCATCCACGCATTTATTTGATAGTCACTGCTTGCTGCTACATATTAGGGTGGGAATTCAATTCATATATAATGTCAAGGTAGCACAGTCCTATTAATGTATACACTGGGTCTACCAGTAAACCACAATATTCAGTAACTTTATGAAGAATCAGTGTAGCAACCTTCTTTTTCTTGGTCTGGCTGCTGTTTGAGAGGAGGAGCTCTCAATACTTGGAGAGGAACTGCCTGCACAGTAGTGCCTAAATGAGTGCATTTAAAAAGCCTTCCCCAGTTGCTCTATTTGATTTGCACTCTGAATAATAAAAGACAAGTAAACAAATTAAAATGAGTCTACTAATGTGACTTCAATAGGGAATCTACCGAATTAAAGCTGGCACTGCTCCTGTTTTATATGTGAATGCTGTCTTCATTGTGGTAGCATAGGAATCCCAGTTGGTATCACCTGCTAAAAGGACAAGAAAGCATTTTCAAACATACCAAACAAGTGTTAAATTTAAATAAGCAAATAAAATTAAAATAATTTTCCAAAAGAAAAATATTTGGGGTAATAATTTTGCTTTAGAGGTTAGACAGCCATGAGAGCCAATAGTTATGGTTTAGATATAAAAAGTCCCCAGAAAGTCGGTGGTAGGTCCTGGTTGAAAGAGGTCATTAGGGGGATGACTTGGAAGGGTATATTCTCAGTCCTGGCTCCTCCCTTCTCACTGTGCTTCCCAAGTGACAGCTTTTCTCCACTATGTTCCTTTGCTGGGTCATTTCTGCTTTGGAGCCTGCCCCAAATGGCTAAATCTGTGAGCCAAAATAAAACTCTACTTCATTAAGTTTTGGGTGTCTGACACTTTATCTTGGTGATGAAACCACGACTAAGACAGAAAACTGGTGCCAAGAGTGGGGTCATTGCTGTGACTATATTGGAACATGTGGCTCAGAAGCCTTTGAATCTGGTTTGCAGGAGGAGTTTGTTAAAGTTTGAAGAAGCAATCTAGAGAAGCCCTGGAATGTCATAAACAGAGCTTTATGGGAGATTCTGGTTGAGGCTCAGAAGATCAAAGTGCTAATAGGAATGTAGACAGTAAAGACCTGGCTCAGAGGTTTCAGTTAGGAACAAGGACTTCATCGACAACTGGACTAGAGGCCATGTATGTTACACTCTGGCAGAAAATTTGCCTTCATTTTCCTTATGTCCTGAGACTTTGGTGAAGACTGAGATTAAGAGCAGTGGACTAATTAATCTGGTGGAGGAAATCTCAAGACAGACTGATGTTTAGACTATGGCATGTGAAATGTTGGCTGCATTTAGCCAGATCTATAATGAGAATCAGGAGCAAAAGTTTTCAATTTCACCAGAAACAAAATGTCTGGAAAGCTGAAGCAAAGGAGAACATTGAAGGAAAACAGTGGTTGCTGAAAAGGTTAGCATTAAAAAGAAGCCAAATACTTTGTACAGGGATGAGAAGAGAGATGACTTGAAGGCATCTCAAAAATCATCAAATCCTCACTCATTGCAGGCTGCAGAGTATAAAACTGTATAGCTTTTGTTTGAAAAGAGAGTCCCTGGGACTACTGCTCATTCAGGGCTGCCTAGGAAGTATCTCTCCAAGTTCAGCCATCTACAGGGTCTCAGAGACGACTACTGTAGCCCAGCTCCTGCTCAAGCTGGCAGGTGACCTTTGTGTTAGCCACCTGGTTCTGTTTTTTCAGGCATGTAGAATGAAAGAGTTATGAGATCATGGAGGCTTCTACCCTTAATTTCAGAAGAGTGCCTAGGAGGTCAGGCAAAAAAAGTGTGACAGGGTCATAGTCACTTTCAGGAGCCCAGGAGAGGGCAATGTATAATTTGTGCCAAAGGTGCAGTGGAGATCCCAGAAAGTTGGAGATGCCAGGAATATGGAATGCCTGTTGAGGAAAGGTGCAGGCACTGAACAGATCCAGACCAAAGAGAGGCCATATAAGTTGCAACCAGCAAGGCCAAATGGTGAGGCTACCTAAGCCCTTCGGATTTCACATCCCAACACAACCTTCCTTGAGTGATGGACATGCAGCTACAAGATTTAATGTTTGCCTTGCTGAGTTTTAATCTTGCTTTTGTCCATTCCTTCCTATCCTTCTCCCTTTTGCAGTGGGAATGTTTACCCTATGCCATTGTATGTTGCAAGTGTTTCACTTTCTTTTTGATTTTTAGAGGGTCCCACAGCTAAGAGTTTTTCTTGAGTCTCAGAGGAGACATTACTAAGATATTGGTGACTCCAGGAGAAGAATGTAATGATTTAGATCTAAAAAGTCCTCCAAAAGTCTCATGTTTGGAGGGTCACTGGGGTGTGACTTGGAAGGATGTATTCATGTACCCATTTCTCTCTTCTCTCTCAGCTTCCTAGCCATCATGCAGTAGACAGTTTTATTTCACCATGCTGTTCTGCTTTGCCATTTCTGCCTTGGAACCTGCTTGATCATGGACTGAATCTGCTAAAACTATGAGCTAAAATAAACTTCTCCTCTTTTAAGTTGCAGGTGTTGAGTATTTTGATCCAGTGATGGGAAAGTGACTAATACACCAAATGATGGCCTCAACTAAAAAAGAAAGGAAACTCAATTATCCCGGTTTACACAAAATAAAGAAGGTCTCTTGTTTTTGTTCAATATTCATATATGTTATTTTAAAGAAGTCAAGCCTTACACACACACACACACACACACAAATTAAAAAGTAATTAATTTTCTTGAAATTCCATCTTCAGATATCCACTATTTCATTTTAATGACCCAATTGATCACACTAGATATGCTGGATGTTTTCTCTTTGCTTCTTGTTTCCTGCTGATTGTCATGGTCCTCCTTATGCCTCCTCCATGCTAGCCCATGATAACAATTTTGCCTGTTCTTTCCACACTTGCATATATGCAGATTTACATATACATACATACACACACACATGTGCGCATGTTGGTGTTTAGTTCTCACCATTTCATTTTTTAAAATAAGCTCATATAAAGTCTCCCTTATATCTGTCAGTAACAAACAGTGTCTTATGAAAAAACTCTCCAATTTACCTGGTGCAGTCCTAATTCATCCTTTGCAATGACTGAAAAATTCAGGGGTGTCAACATTAGTGAGAGTTATGTGAGTGGCTGCTGTCATCAAGGGAGGGAGGTTAGACATTAGCAATCACAGAGTTTCTCTGCTTCAACCCTTTTCCTATACCTAGTGTCAACAAAGTACCACCACATTTCTTGAAAATACCACAATTATGCTTTGATCTGTAGTTTCACTTTATCTGCAGTGTCTCAGATACCTGTAGTCAACCACAGGTGAAATTTATTAAATGAAAAATTCCAATTCAAAAGTTTTAAATTGTAAACTAACTGTTCTGAGCACCATGATGGGACCTCATGCTGTCTGGCTCCTTTCTGCCTGGGATACGAATCATATTTCCATCCAGTGTATCTAGGCTACATATATTATGCACCCATTAGTCACATAGTAGCCATCTCACAGTATCACAGTGTTTGTGTATAAAGTCAGTACTATAAATGGTTCTAGGCAACCACTGGAGCTCTTAGAACACGTCCTCTATAGATGGATGAAGAAGATACTTTATGTATTTTAAACTTAAAATTCAGTTGTTCGTTCATTCCTCATATCTGGGCAGTTACTGTTGCCTTTTACATTTCATGAGAACTTGGAATTGTCTTTGTTTTAACTAAATGATGCTGTCTAAGGAGCTATCATCTCATCTCTAGACTACTGTAGTTACCTTATTGCCTGAGTTTGTTCCCACTCATTTATCCTATTAAAATTGCTATATCTTTCATAATTTCCCAGTATTTTTAAAAGTTAAGTGCCCCTGTCTAGCTTGTGGCAACCCTAGCCAAGCATTTACAATTTCTGTCATCTCTGAACCTCTTTCTTTTCATTGCCCTGTCACTCTCAACCAGGTCTTGTTTTTAATTTAACAGGTCCTCAGCTCCAGGCAGGCAGCTGTATCTGCTTATCAATGACCATTCTCCAATATTTCACATAGGTCCAAGTACCATGTCCACCCAGAAGCAAGCCACAGCTGCAGAACTAAGGCCTTGGCCCCTCATGTATCTCACTCTGTGCTTTGCTCCCATGACCTCCTGGTGTCTCCTCTCAAACTCTACTTTGCTAGAAATGGCAGTATCTTTTGAGATAGGTGTTGATAGGATCACTTTACACTTGAAAGCCTTTTATTCCAATAGCAAAATTAAATGTCTCTGTGAAAAGAATTTCAAGTGTGGATGAGTAGGAAGAAATTGAGGTATGCTGCTCTTAAAGAAGACTTCTTTAACATCACTGAGGCCTCTAGGTTTTACTTTTGGATCAGAAAGGATCTTCAACACAGAGTCCAAACATCCATCTACTGTCTTTTTCCTAATGTGTTTCAGAACTAACCTGATTGAACTCAATTTCCTGTTAGACCCAGATGCACCTTAAAAGCTCTGGAGAAATAGTTCTCTGGGCATCCTCTTCCAATCAACCATGTGGGCAAGCATGGTAAACCTGTGTCCCTGGCTGGATCTTTCCGTTGCTGAGGACAGGCTAGGGTTGGGCATCTGGCAGCATGGATTGTTAAATTCCTATCCTGGGTGTGCAGGGACAGGAGCAGTGTGTCTGGCTGCCACCAGGTCCTACATCCAAGCAAAACTCCCTCTCCCTGTGTTAGCTAAGCACAGGTCAGATACTCCTTTATACCCCTTAATCCTAGCCTGCTTGGATGTGACTTGATTTCCAAGACATCTTCCTTTAATTTTGCATTTAATGTTTTTTTCTTCCCACAACTCTTTGTGTCAGGTGTATACTTTCATGGTTTTGAACTCCACTGACAGAGCTTCTGAAAATAAAGCATGTTATTGGAGTCAAGACTCTTTATTAACAGAAATGTTGCTTTAAAATCCATAGATATAATATTCCAAAACTATTTTCAATGTGTCCTCTGCATGTCATTGCTTTCTTCTACCTTTCTTCTTGGTGGGGGAGTATGCCAGTGTCTTTACAGTTCCACATCCCTCTCCTGTAAGTCTGTATTCCTGGTTATTTCTTTTTCTTCTTATTCTTTGTTCCTTCTACAAACAAACACGGAGCCCTTGCCATGAACCGAGGCCCATGTTCAGCATGGGATACAGAGTCCTGTTCTGGCTAGTGGAGGAGCTACATATTATGGGCATAGATTTAAAATTGTGCTGATGTCTTCTGTGTCACAGGGGCCCTGGGAAGGGTATACATCCTTCTTCTTGGATGAGAAGCAGAAACAGCTAGAGCAAGTGTAGTGTGGCATCTGAGCTGGGGTTTAATTTTGTAGGAGTATGACAGAGAAACATAGGAGACCATAGAGTAGAGCACTCTCCAGAGGAAGTAGTATGCAATATGAGAGTCTGAGACATGAGAATTGGCCCAGTGCAAGTGAGGGTGGGGAGAAATGCATAAGGATAGGTTGTTGGGGCCATTTGGGCCCTCCAACTTCTTAAAGCCTTATTCTGCCAACCTTAGTGACCCACTGAAGGTAGCCACAATTATGAAAACACCTTATGAACATGCTTTGAAAATATAAATAATAGTAGCTAGTGTATATATTGTATTATACTTTACAAAGTATTTCCACACATGTTATTTTATTTTCAAAATAACCTGAGAGGTAAAGCAAGTATTAGTGGCATCTAAGACTTTAACTTTACTATGCTTTGAGCAGTTAAATAATTGGTGAGTGCACAGTGCTAACAGTATGCTAAATGATGCCCCCCTCAAAGATATGTCTACTTCCTAAACCCCAAAGCCTGTGAATCTGATTTTATTTGGAAAAGGGATCTTTGCACATGAAATTAAGGGTCTGAAAATGAGGATGTCATCTTAAATTAACCTGAGAGATCTCAAAGACCAAAATGTGATTACAGATGTCCTTATAAGGAAGAGATGGGAATATTTGACAAGAATAAAAGAGAAAGAAGACTATGCAATCTCAGAGGCAGAAACAGAAGTGAAGTCAAGAACGCAAGGATCTCACCCTGCACCTGCTGGTGGCAGGTGTTGCCCTGACAGCACCTTGAGTTTGGACTTCTGGCCTTCAGAACTGCCAGGGAATAAATTGTTGCTCTTTTAAGCCACCAGTTTTTGTCTGGTTTTGTGTAGCAGCCATGGGAAAATAATGTAGTACCTAAGAGCCCAGGCTACAATCACTGTTCAACAGCAATCAGTCATCATGGTCATCAACCACTGTATTAGTCACTTTCTCATCTCTAGGACAAAATATCTGGCACAGTTTAAAGAGGAGAGGTTTATTTCAGCTCATAATTTCAGAGGGTTCAATCTATGGTAAGGTGGCTCCAAGGCAGAAATGGTAAGATGAAAGGGCAAATGGAGGCAGGACACTCAATCCATGGCAGTCAGGAAGAAGAGACAGAGAAAGGAAGTGCCAGGAACAACCCTCCAGGTCATACCCACGCCTCCAAAAGGGCCCCAAGTTCTATTAGCACATTTAGATATGAACTCAATTGATTAATTCACCAATGAGTATATCATCCCCATGATCTAATCACCTTCTGAAAGAGCAACATCTCAACACTTAAAATTTTTGGGGGACATTTTAGATTTCAATCAAAACAATTAGCTTATCCTATTTGGGAAGAGACACACCAACGTTGCCCTTGAAGGGGCAGTAGGAGAAGCACAGACTGGCTGTCAGAGGCCCACAACTGGAGAAGAGTTAAACACACAGGGAAAAGAGAACTTGGCAGCCAAATCAAAGAGACTCGGTGATCAAGCTGAGATATCAAAGAAGTTGTCTTCTCTCCTAATTTCAGCAGCTGGTATTCTCTTAATGGGATTCCCAAAGCCTGGAAAGTCTGAGGAGGACAGAAGTGTTACTTTGCACATATTAAATTGAAAGCCTTCCTATGACCTCTAAATAGAACTATCTGGTGGGTAGTTGGATATTTTCATCTGCAAGTTCAGAGATAGAGAGTAAAGTTATTGGCACGTTTGAGGAGCACCTAAAGCCTGGTGACAGGGTGTGTTCAATCGTATTGAGGATGCAGATTCAAGAGGGCATCTTGGAGGATTCTGACATTTCCAGATGAAGGAAAGGGGACACAGTAAAAGAAACTAAGACAGGTAGTCAGAAAGAGAAGGGGAAATGAACAGGCATCGTCTCAGGAAATCTGGGGAGGGGTTTCTCCCTCCTGCCTCTCTCCTTTGACTTCACAAAGAAATGGAGTATATTTGATATCTTTGTACTAATTAAGTATTTTCATGTTTCATTCTTAACTTACAAAGGAATTGATTAGAATAAAAATACACATTTCATTCATGTTTAATAGGAGCACAATTCTAAGAAATTTGCAGTTGAACAATTCCTCACCGCTCTGGAGCCAGCATGGAACCCAATTATCCAGCCAGACTGTAACAACGGGCCATTATTGCCAAGAGAAACGGCACAGTGGAGCAGACTACACAGTAATTGTGCCACCAGCATCACAGCTAGAGTGGCGCTCCATCCACGGACACAAAAGACTGAGTTGGTAAAACGGCTGCATCTGTAAGCAGAACCAGGCTCCAAAACTCTCCATTTGGCACTCACTACATTTTTTGAAAGAAAAAATTCCGCCTGGGTTAGAAGCTACAGCTGAGGATAGAGGGCCCCTGCCTCTGCTGCAGCTAGGTGAGGTCCCCTCTACTATTCAGGGTACCTCTAGTTTCTCAGCTGTTTCCCGGACTCTGTATGGGGACCGGGAGTCAGGCCCAGCTAGTTTTCGTCCCAGCTTCCCCATCTCTGTTCCTTCTTTGCCTTTGGGCCTGTTCTCCTTGAAAAGTCCCTGACACTTCTTTTTTCCTGTCTCCTCCCGCGGGAATCTCCTGGAGTGTTTAAAGAGAAGGGTAGTGTTTTGTAGAGGGGGCGTGGCAGCGAGCAAAAGGGCCGGAAAAGGGTAAATTCGCCAACGTCCTGATTCTCATCCCTTCTTCAATTGGTCTATCCACAGAGGGAGGAGACACACTTGAAGACTGAATGGCTGGACCACACCTCGCTCTCAGGAAAGACCCGGTCCCGCCCCACAAATGGGCCAGGTCTTACTTGGTTGGAGCATGTGGTCGCATGGAGAGGGGCGCGGAGCTTTGCGCCCAGGCTCGGCCTCCATCCTGCCGGGAAGAGGCAGTCTCCAGCCGAACCGCAGTTCCGGCACAAGTTTGCCCAGCAGGCTGCACTGCAGCTTTAGGACGCGTCGCCATGGAGACGCGGGTCAGTTTCTCTGCTGCTCACTGGCGGGCCTGGGGTACAGGTGGCTTAACCAAGACTGTGCCAAGACGGGGTGGTGCAAGAAAATAGGAGTGTACCTCATCATGTGAATGCCTTGTTTTCGTGTATTTTTGTAGTTCTTGCAGTGAGCTTTCCTAACCATTGTCTTCATATTTAGGAAGGTGAGTAAAATGAGAGAATTGAACAAAAAATATGCAAAATTTGATCTGCAACTTTTCATCCATTCCTAACTTATAAGCAAAGTTGTCATGGATCTTTGTAGTAAATAGAATCTATATGAGACTACAAAGATCATATGTGATCTGGTGTAAAAGAATTCCAAGTGGAGTTTCTACGATGGCTCCATACTAACAAATGAGTCATTCTGTGTATCAGCCAGCTTCACATTACTTCAAGAAAATATCAAGCACAGGCTACTTGCAAAATAGTTCCCAGTTTTGGTGGTTCAGAATCCAAAGGCCGAAAACAGGCTTTGCAAGGGCTTCTGGGAAGGCAAAGACACTAGTGGGCATCACATTTGGGGCCAGAAAGGAGGAGGGAATGAAAATATTGGCAATCTCTCTAGGAGAGCCTTGCTCCTAAAGGCCTCCCTCTAGGCTCTACCTTTTAAAGGGATATAGAATCTCTCAATGGATGCCTTGGAGACCAAGCCTTTCACTCATGGGCCTTAGGGGACCCTATCCATATTCAAACAATACCAATCTGACATAAAAATTAGAAGAGAAGCCAGAAGATGCCAAGTGTGCTTAGAGATAGGAAGAGGTGAACGTTCATGTCACAGTCCTCCAACCTTAGTGATCTGTGACTATCCATGTAATCATTCTTCCAAACCTCTCCCACACCATGGATGCTATGGTTTGTATATAGATGTCCTCCCAAAGCATCAAGTACTCATAGGCAGGGCTTATGGAAAGTGACTGGGTTATGGGAGCACTATAACTGGCTTGGTTGGGAGGTAGGGCCTGGTGAAAAGTTGTAGTCATTGTAGGCATGACCTGGTAGGATGTATCTCCCTTCCTCATCCTTCCTCTCACTCTGTCTGCTTCCTGGGACCAGGAGGTGAGCAACTGTTCCTCCAGCACGCACTTCTGCCACACTGTCATGTCTTGGAGCCATCAGACTATGAGCCAAAATAAATCTCTCCTCCTTTAATTTGTAGGTATAAAGTATTGTGTCATGGTGACAAGAAAGTGACTAAGACAATGGACTGAACTGTGTCTTCTCCCTCTGTGTATGTTACAGTTCTCACTGGATAAAGAGGGTCTTTTATCTTCATTTTCTTGGCAACTACCTCTTAATTTGATAGAGTATGTGCTTAGTGACTAAGTAATGGCTCCAGGTTATAATACAATTGTCATTCACTCCTGTAAAGAGAAGTCAGAAAGTACTCATTGGAGTCTGCTGACATCATGTTTGGAGAGCAATTTGCAGCAGCTCCTCATCCAGAAATGGGCTATAGTAACCTAAAATCTTCGGTGAACAAGGTAGTATAACAAAGAGTTTATTAGAGGAAATAGAATAGGCACTAAAGTACATATCCCAAATATATATACAGGGAATGTCTTTAAGCTCAGCGCTAAACTAGAATTTTCTGACAGTAGAGTCCCATCCACATGATCAAATGAATAAAACACATTTTAGACTCTCAAGTTTTAAGGCAATGAATGGTGGATCACATTAGAAGGCACAGACTTCTGGCGATGTTATTATAAGGAATGAGTCTAAATTAGGTTTTAGTAGTGGCATCTAAATTAAGAAAGTAGCACCCAATAACAGATTAACTGTCTGGAAATGGTAGAGCTAATTTGCATAGCATAATTTAAGAGAAATATATTTTTGAAATAGAGCAGCAAGTATATAGAATTTTAAAACTGAATTCTTATTAATAGCCTACATTTATCTCCTGTTAAGCAAGCTGAAAAGGTGGAGTATGCCTTGAATGGAGTAAAAGCTAGGAGATCTCTTTGTTGCTTTCCCCTGGGGATCCTCAGAGTAAAGCAGATATTTCTGTTGGCCTCAGTTTTCTTACTTGTAAAATAAATATACTAGTACCCACCTCACTGAGCTGCAAAGATGACAAAAATTTACCAATAAAGAACCAAAAATCTAAGATATCACTCTTTTGTCTGACTGCCATTCTGATCTTCATTCTTTTTATAAATCTCCCATCTCTGCTTCAAAATATAGTCTTGATGGGGGTCCATGTTACTATGAATAGCAAATCATGATTGGTACCTTTAGATTTTGATTGCCTGAGGCAACCACTTTAAATGATTATGTAGATTTTGTTTTCCTTTTCTTCTTTCCCTCAACAAAGACTAACTGTACACTGAATCTGAGCTGTATGTTGACAGTAACTGCAATGCTTTGGATATGATAGGAGTTTGGGTACAGCTCTTTAGAAGAAGAGTCCTCAAGGATGCATGAGTCACTTTGGTGAAGAAGGAAAGGTGACATGTGGCAAAGCTATGACCCAGGCAACACGAACAGCCTATAGATCCCAATGAGTGAGGGTTTGTTGTTGCTAGGTGAGGAGGAAACAGAGCCTTCTGGAGGGAAAGGGCAGTGGGCCGAGGAGCTGGGCTCCACCTGAGCATGGGAGCACTCACTTGAGTGAAAGGGCCAGGTCAGATGTTTAAGTAAATCCTGACCTCTGCTCCACCAGGAGGAAAAACCAAATTTACCATAAATGAATCACACAGAAATCAAAACATCTAAGTTACTAGTATGTTTTTTTAATAGTGTTTTCCATTGGTTCAAAACAATCGTGACTAGCTTATTGAATGGGTTAAAATTAATTGGGTGTTTCCAATTCAAGTTATTATAATAAAATTTATTATATCAGATATTATAATACTATATATTATAGTGATTATAATACATTTCTACACACAATAATGGGATGGGTGATATACTTGGGTAGTAAGGGTAAGGAGACAGTAAGGATGAATCACTCAAATGTTGTCTGCTAAAAAGAATACCTCCAGTCCCAGGGACAGAGAGGGTCAGAAAGAGAAAGTCATTGCTGAGCACAAGAGAAGTAGCCATGTTCATAGTCCAAGGGAAAGGAGTAGAGAGCTTTAAACTGCAGGAGAGAGCAAAGGAAGCCCAGGCTGGAGAAGCCTGATGTTGTGGGGAGCTGCCTCCTGCTCTGAAGGTGACTCCTACACCTGACACCTGTGAAAACACAGACTCAGTTGCAGTAATCTTGTCTTAGTTACTTTTTTTGATGCTGAGACAAAATACCCAACACCCACAAGTTAAAGGTTTAGAGGTACAGGCTGAAGAAGCAGCCCTGGAATGCTGTAAGCTATACTTCATAGGAGATTCCAGTCAGAGCTCAGAAGGCCAGAGGCTGATAGAAATGCTGCTGGTAAGGACCAGGCTCAAGAGGTTTATGGTGGACTACATCAGCTCTTGGGCTCCAGACAATGTGTGTTATGCCTTGGCAGAAAGTTTGTATGCATTTTGCTCATGTCCAGAGACTTTGCCTGAGACTGAGATTAAGGGCAGTGGACTAAATAATCTTGCAGAAGAAATTTCAGGGCA